CAACGAAATATAAATGAAAGAATTTAGCAAAAAATTATATTGATTACAATATAATTCTGATATAACAACAAAAAAGACAAGTAAGAATGAAAATAAAATGTATTATGCGTACTAAAGTAAAATTTGAATAAAAAGAGTATTCAACAATTTTCACACAAAGAGAACGTAGTACTGAAATATTTTCTTTATTTCTTGAGGTTTCTATTTTTTACATTTAATTGCCAGGACTCTTTGAAATGTTTCAGGAACTTTAAAATTCTTTGTGAAAAGGAGCTAAAACTCTATTATTTATATTGTTAAAATGGGATGCTAACTTCACAGAGATTAATAAATGTAGAATTAAACCCGCGTGCATCGCGCGTAGAAATTTTACTTCGCAATTCCACGACTAGTGTCGCTAAAATATACTTCCACGTTATTACGAGAGCCTCATCGAAGATTTAAGTCCGTAATATCATCGGGGCGAAGCTACTTCCGCAACTTCAGCCAACGTCGAGCTTATTAATTTCACATGCACGAGTCACGGCGAGCGAGGTGGATTAATTAAAGACAACAGGGTATATTCCGATTTTATGCTCGCCCTCGCGCTTTTGCCTTTTTCCAATTTTTGCCGATATGAACGTGATATAAGCGTCTTTCGTCTCACCCTTCGGAGTTGTAATAGCTGGGGCGAAGTCATCTTGGCTCGCTGAGCCGGAATTACTTCGAACTGGTTCCCGGTGATAACGAGCTGAATTAGCTAAGACTATATTATAATAGCGCCGTAGACGGGGCCCGTATGAATATTTAACAGCCCACGCTTAGTTTGTTGGCGCCGTATACTTTGAAATCGAGTAACTTTGCAGTTATGACTTTTGTTATGACGTATATAATCTGGTTTACAGCTAAATGACGTTCGATAGATAATTTATCAGTCGAGAATTAATTGGACGATACTGTCGAAAATTTTCATTACAATGAGTAATTAGGCAGCTCTATTTCGGCTCTATTAGATTCTATTTTATTCTGTGTAATAAAATATAATGAATAATTAATAGCAGCATTTAATAAGATTATTTTTTTAAGTAATGAAATTAGCAGAGATAACGAGCATTTGCATTTGAAAAGAAAAAGTGCGGAATTTTATCTGTGTTTACTACTGCAGATGAAGCGCGAATATAAAAGTCGAAATATGTTTGAAAAAAGCAGGAACGAAATGTTCTTAGATAAATGTTACAGCAGCCACGAGCATAAAAAATACTAAAGCGTTTATAGGCTAAAATTTCTATGGCAAGGTACGTCCGCGAACTTTTTATGGTGTCGCCTTACCTTTTCCTGCCCGGTGAACTGTGGAAGAATGGATACTGCTGGGGGGTTTACGGCTCGCGAATCTCGGTGAGCAAATAATCCAATTTAGAGCCGCGAAGTGTTCCCGCGCGCCCAAGTTCGATGGAATTGCCATTTTGGCGCGTGCGAATGGGCGGCCAGCAATGAGATTTCGGCTTTGATTTATCGCATATACATTTGTGGATTTTCCATGAGAATTTCGAGAATGAAAGTGTTTCATGACATTCACTGTGCGTGCGTGTGGCAATGTACATTTCACATTTTTTCTCCAAATTTTTTATCGTTATACATCGATTGTGAGCACAATAGCAAAATTTACAATCTTTGTAGACGGTTTGCGAAACGTAAACGAATGGGAAATAATATTTACGTAGGATGTAAAGAAAATTCTTTGTTTTTAATCGTAGAATGTCTGTCGAATTTAGAGTTGTTTCTTCTGTATTGAAAATTAAAAGTTTTGTTGTAGCATTTTGCTTGCAATTTTCTTAATATTAGACTTTTTAAAAGTTTAGTTTTACATTATGTTTTTATTTAAACAAACTTTAAAGTTGGACCAAGTTTAACGTGCCACGAAGGATACATATATTCTTTTTAAAATATCCTCAGAAATATCTATGATTTAAACTTTGCATTTTTAATATTTTATCTTTTTGGAAAAGAGTATTACATTGAGAACATTTGTAAGGCTGCCAGAAATGCAAAGGTTGCTTTTAATTAATGCATCTACTTGTATTTTTTCTTTTTTAATAAGAAAAGACCAATATCTTGCTTTGGATTCGCATTGAAAGCAAGTTGCTTTCGACGTTAAAAGGAGTTTGAATGTGTTGCTGACAGTTCGCGAAAGCCGGAAATTAAACATCGAAGAACGAGATTTTTCATAAAGCATATCTAGAGTATTACACATTTTTACGGAATCATGCATGACGCAAAGCGTTTATTGAATTTATTTCTTGTCATTGCAATCAGTAGGCCAATAACGCGACGTATATTCGAATTATCCGCAAATGCATTTATTAACGAAAAAGGAATTCAAAGAAAATGTAAATATTTTACATTTATTTTATGAGGTTTTTATATGACATGATAATATAATTAGATTGTTAGATTATTAGAATAATAGTTGAACAATGGAAAATTAATTCCGATCACATATTTTTAACCACATTAGATGTATATTCCAAGAAATAATTCTGCGGAAGAATTTCAAGATTTATGTATTCGCAAAATATTTTGTTGGGTATATTTTTTATAGCATCCATACTATGCTTGGCCGGTGTAGAATGTGTTGAGTATTCGTTTGGGAGAAAAACAGAATGGAACCGAAGCCCGTTTCGGTTGATTCGTTTGCGTATCAGTAAAAGAGTGAAAACGAGCCTTAGGAGAGCGAGTCGAAGATATGAGAAATGCACATACGCTTGTGTGCGCAGATTTATTGAAAAACATTTCGCGCACGCAATTGCTGCGTCTCCTTCTTTCTTTCAATTCCTGCCTTTCTCTGTTTTTGTCTTGTTTTTCTTTTTTTAATTCTCTCTATTTCTCTCGTTCTATTTAATATATGTATACATGGTCGCACATGCGCGCGAAAATTTACATCGAAGCGCTTAAAAAAACCACGCGTCCCGATATGGACTGCGGTCGTTGGACATTGAATAAATATTTCTTTCCGGTAAAGCAAAGAAAGCATGACGATGTACACGGCTCTTCTGCAATTCAATTTTTGTCGATGGCACTGGAATTTTGATCAAACTTACAATTAGATAGCAATAAATGTCCTGGGTAGAAAATATAAAGAAATATTGACACGTGCAAAATTAAATCGAGACATCGAGCGTATTGTTATCTTACATTTTCTATTTCCTGTGATATTGATTTTTCGCGCCCCGGTGAGACATTCCTCGCGATGAAGACGCAAACGACTGCCGCGAGCTTCCAACTGTACGGGAATCTTAATGGTCCGATTTTATGGAAATCGCTGTAAGCTTCTGCCAGCTGTTTCCATTACGTCTCCGTTATGTTCCGTAAAATCTTCGCGCCTTCAGCTCCAAGTTCTTACAACGCGCGCGCTCGCTACAAAAACGGCGTAAAAGAATCTAAATCGAAAAAGAAATAATTTAAGACCAGCAAGAACTAACCTGATATCCGTAGTGTGCGTGAGTGTCAAATAAAAACTATATTAAATTAGTAATAATTCGGAAATGAACTCTTTTTCGCTTTTCTTTTTTTAAGATATGAAAGATATTAACTTTTGCATCTGCATGTGTTCGTAAGAAAAAGAGAGAAAAGGAAAGTTTACGCAAATTAGAAATTAATCGCGCTTGCACCGTATTCCGATCCATCAGGTCTCGTCGCGACTCAACGAGCACTTTTCACAAAGAAGCGTTACTGCCCGAAAGTTTACTGCGAACCTCCGGTACTGCCGGAAGTTAGATGAGAGAAGAGAGAACCGCACACCGCGGCACAGAGAAGGAGAAACTGAAATCTGAGAGACGGCAAATTTCTCCACCTCTCGGTTCTCGAATAATAAATATGCATGCCGAGGAGAAGCATTAGCGGGAAGTAACTCTTTCCTTTGGAGAAATGCAAAAACGTGCGCAGCGTAGCTGCGGTGCGTCTAACCGGGAAAATATTGTTGTTTCGAGGCGCTTTTATATTCGTTCAAGACAAATGTCTCTCCGGACGCAAACGTTTTCATCGGTACGGAAATGTCAAAGATCAAATCCGATACGCTATCAATAATTGATAATAATCTTGGAATGATTTCCTACGTACTACTAAAAAGAGGTTCTCCTTACAACTTAATCGATTTACATTGGCTTTAATTTTTGGTTGATAATCCAATCGACAACAATGTTGCGATAATGAAGGCATTATAGAAAGATAACATAATTTTGTTAGTACAATCGAAGATCTATTGAACAGACTAAACGAGAGAGATCTCTTTAAACGAAATCATTGTATTATTATTGTATTGTATGACTTTACGAAGCATAGAACGATTGTTATCAGAGATAAAATACGTATTGTAATTCTGAGTATTGATTTATTGCGTCCTTAACGAGATAAATTAAAAGATCGTAAAATGATATTTCCTTAAATTTTGTGAGGAAGTGTTATTCACGATTTAAATATTAATTAAACAAATTATTAGTTTGCTTAATTTTTTCTGATTAAATAATAGTTATCACAAACGCATCACTACGCTCTATATTGACATGATATCACAAATTGTTTTTGCGGAGCAAATAATGCTGATACTGTTATCATACAACGCATACCTATTTTATCACAGATAACAATTTCGAAAATATTCAAGTTAATATTTTTCTGTTTAACATTTTATGCTTAATCATATCGCGTACTAATAATATTATATAGATTATTTACACATATTATTATCAATTCTCAAATTACTTTGTGTATAATTTCGAGAAAATTTAATTTCTCAGATGGTTTTATTCTACTGAATTTAAATAATGCTCAAATAATTTATTATAAATTTTGATCCATATAAATTTAATTATTCATAATTATAGTAGAATAATGTTATTCATTTACGATTAAAAAGTAAAATATTTCAATTTTACAAATTTTTATGTAGAAAAATTTTTAAGTAGTTTATATTATTTTATCTAATATTTATAATTATAAGATTTACTAATATATTTATTCTCTCAAAGTTCTGTACAATAGTTCTTATTGTTCTTTTATGGTTAAAGAATATCTGATGCGACGAGCGAACGTAATCTCTATCATCTGCGTCCAAATTTTAGGACTTGTTTTACACGCTAAGGAAGCAGCGGAAATTCCGTATTTGAACGGAAAATGTTGCTGACAGCAACAGCAGGCGGGCGTAACAATCTTGTTTCACTAACCGGCATGGCCACGAAACGGCTTGTTGGAATATTGTATTCGGCGGATGAAGCGCGTAGACGTTCTTGATGCCTCGGTATTGTTTGCCTGAAAGGCACGTCACGGCATCGTGCTAGTCAGTTAAAAAGAATCGGGGCCAGTAATGCGCTAAGTACACGCGAGGAAAATTTTAGATGAAAACATTTCGTGAGGGAAATTCTAAGTGCACAGTTGTGAAAATAATGTTTGTTAAATTATCGATATTACTGATAGTTATGATTGACGAGCTTGATTGAACTACGTGTTTAATTGCATTATTACTTTAAACTTTTTATAAAAATTTATAATTTTTGCTAAGCTATAATATATATTATATATTATATAGTTTATAGTTTGTCATAGTTAATTCACAAACATATCTCGTAGCTGCTTCTTCGAGATTTTGCCAGTAGTCGTGCGCGGCAATTTATTAAGAAATTTAACACCAGCGCGAAGTTTACAATGATCAGGCAGGTTTTTTTCCACAAAACTGATAAGTTCCTGCTCCGATACCTACAAGTCAAATATCAAACGAATACAATATTTGCGACAACAAACATGAATTTTAAATAATCATAGCTGTTGTGATATCTGGTATACTCAGAAATGTTTAAGGTGTTTACCGTTTTGCCTGGCATTAGAGAGACGGCAGCCATTGGATGTTGTCCATCGATTTCATGAGGTTTTCCTATCACCACTGCTTGAAATACTGCGGGATGAGTGTATAATACAGTCTCAATTTCTGCGGGTGAAACATTGATTGACCTAAAAATAATAAACTCGGATATCCTGTCGATGACAAAAAGTTCCCCGTCTTCGTCATAGTATCCCATGTCGCCGGTGCATAACCAACCTAAAATATTTAAAAACTATAAATTATTTGTTCGTTTAAACTATCTGTTTACGGCAAAGTCTGCCTATTCCACAATTCGTTGTATATTCCTTTCTTCTAAAATATATCTAGCGATATATGTTAGTATTGCTAACTGCAATCAAAATACATACCATCAGAATCGAAAGTTCGTTTGGTTGCTTCAGGATCTTTATGATATCCGTTCATTACAAATGGCACTTTAACGCGTAATTCCCCAACTTTATTAGCTTCTAAAGCTTTCCCAGTTTCCACATTTGCCACTTTCATACGGACGTTAGAAATCACAAAACCAATAGATCCCGGTTTGCTATATTTGTTTTGCTGAGTCAGTACACCTCCTGCATCGGTAGATCCTAAGAATTGATAGATCCAATGTATATATTTATTAATAGTAACAATTATGATATGATGTGATGCGACGTAAGTGAAAAAAGTGGTTAAATTATTTGTATCATTAATGTGAAAACTGTGTAATTTAGCAAAATTGAATTAGAGAATATAATTAATATAATAATAATATAATAATGTTAAAAATTAATTGCATATAAATTTTAACGCTATCAATTCTTAAAAGATTTACACAGGTTCGAGGAGAAAATAGAAATTAATATTCTGTTTTATTTTAAACTGAAACTTTAAACTTGTTATTTACCGTAAACATTAAGTATGAGAACATGTGGTAATTTCTTAGCCACTTCTTCTTGATGCTGTTTTCGAAATATTGAACCAGAAATAAATATCTTCTTTACGGTTGGTAATTGATACCTTTCCAATAAATCAGTCTTAATGAATCGAATTAACAAGAACGGATCAACAGCAAGTAAAGTTATCTGGAGATCACGAATGACATTAGTTATTGAAATTACCTCACTCAATTAATTATCTCACATGTCATTTTAAAAATAACTTCAAAAATAACTGGTCGACTAAGAATTATTCTACTTACTCCATATTTTTGGACGATATCGCAAAATACATCGTCATTTGCACCCTCTGCCCCGTCTGCCGCAATATCTGGTAAAACAATTCTGGTGGAGTACGCCAAGATAGCTCTTAATATTTGCGTCACACCATGCTGCCAACGTATTGTTGATGTAAGCAGAAAAATGTGGCCTTCTACGTCTTTGATTTTCTCGGGAGGCATGCAATTTTGGATGATAGAAGAATGTGAGATCTCAGTAGCCTTTGGCATACCTGTAGTACCTGAAGAAAGAACGATCAAAGCAATCTCGTCTAGGTTGTTGAGTGGTGCACATTTGAATTCAGTGATCTCGCGACTATCGTGATTTTTCAAGATGTCTTCGAACGATTCGTATCCATCTAGCTTGTCGAAAACCACTATTTTCACATTTATTTTTAGTTCCTTTGCGGCTTCCGTTAAACTTGCGGCCGATAACGGAATTGAGAAAATTATTGTTGGCGATGTCAGGGAGAGGAAATATTTTGCTGTCACTGAACAAATGCAAAATAAAAATGATCAAATAAATAATCAATAAATAGTAGATAATTAACTGATCGAGTAATGGAAAATGTTTGAAATAGATTTTTTTAATTTCTGAAATAATCAAAGATATTAAAATATTAATTTCTAATATTTGTCATGAATGTTTTAAATTTACTGCTAATATTTCCTAAACTTTATATTTTTTTAACTTTATAAAACTATATAATTTTTAGTAATATTGTACATTTATGAAAAAAAGCATGAAGTAATACATATATTTTTGTATATTATGGCCAATTAGTAGAATTACAGAATAGTAATAAAAAGCAAAATTGCTTACTTGGAGAAAGTTTGTGGTCCCACGTATTATATATGGCACCTAAGTACATTGTACCTAATAAAGCTAAGATCGAGTCGAGATTATTGTCGGTGCAAAAGCCAATTACATCACCCGGCTTTACACCCTGTTTCTTTAACCAAAGAGCGCATTTAATGCTGCGTTCACTCATTTCGCCGAAAGTGTTATGTTTACCCGTAATGGCATCAATCTAAGAAAAATAGAAAATTAGACTGTCTTCTCTTGCAACAAATTTCAGTCATGTTTCAGTCAGTTGCAATCATGCGTAATTTTTTATGTAATTTTTTATGTAATAAAATATGAATTAGAAGATTTAAATTTTATACTTGAAGGACGTGGAATTAACAAAGATATACATAATGTTGATGTTGAAATACCTGACCGACGAAATCTGGTTTGCTTTTAAAAGTATTGAGTATCGTTTCACTGATAGTGACATTTCCTCTATATATAGGACATTCTGGCCCTATTAAAATATTGTCTTTGATAGTTCCCTTGAATTTGGAACTTTGTACCTGATACAAAATTTTATGAAATAAATATAGTTTAACAATTTATATATGTAATAATTGTTTGGAAAACTTAATATACTCTAATAATTTTTACAAAAGAAAAATAGAAATTGTGTGTGTGTTAGATAAATACAATTATTAGAAATATAAATTATATATTTTATATGCTAATAAAGATAATTAACTGTTTAAGTGAATAATTAACTAGATTTAAAAAATCTAGGGTTCTAATAGATGCAAGAATAAAATGTAGTTTTATGATATATATTAAGTGTTTTTGTACCTTGGTATTATCAGTTGCTGTTTCTTGCTCGTACATTTTTATAACAACTTTGTCTATTTTGTAGCAGCCAAACGATCCAGCTAAACGATACGAATGCTTAAATGAAACTGCAACTCAGATCTCAGACGAAAAGTCAAATCAGCTAGTTTTTATTTTTATTACGTTATTATCTTTCCCACTGAGAAAGATAACGGCAATAACACACAGTATTGGTTGTGCAGTATTGTATGTATTTCTAACTTGTAGGCTTTTTTAGATAAAGAGGAAAGAAAATAAGACGAAATTGTTTTGTGAAGAGTGGGGAGTTATCTCGAAAAAATAGAATATCATATGCAATATCAGTGTTCTTACAAAAAGAGGGGATAATCTATGATAAGAAAAAACTTTTAGAATGCTTTTTTTATTATTCAACGCTAGATGTTGCAGGAATTATGCCGATGCAGGGATTATCGATTTATGGCCATTTATTTTTGTTTTTGGTATAAATATATTTAGATGCTTTTATAGTGTAATCGTTTCTTATAATAGAAAATAAGAATTTAAGGAAGAATAAATAAATAATTAAGAAGAGTTAATAAAGGAAGAATAAAATAAATTCGTTCTCCTGAAAACAAAATACAGAAAGTCGTTAAAATAGAAAAATGAAAAAGCTATACATTATATACGTTTCTAACTTACAAATTATTCAAAACAATACAATGGAAAACATTTTTTTCTGTATATTATACTTGATAATGCAATTTCATAATATTACTCAAAAATTGCCGCTAAGTTCGGGAAATTTTTTATTCATGAACTTTCAACATCACTGAGAACTAGCTAAGAAATTATCATCTTTTCATAGGTATTTTGGATTTAAATGTACTAAATGTAACATTAATTGAATGAATTTGATAACATTACAGGATAAGAGTTCCATATCTTCTAAAGCCTTTTAATAAGATGTTAGTTGATTCTGTAGAATTTAAAGTTTTACACATTGTTTACAGAAATTTTTACATATTTTTTCAAAATACTATCAGCTATTATTTTAAACTTTTTAAAAATTTATAATTTTAATAAAGTTACAATTTATGCAATGCGATACTTCACTACTGTACATAGTTCGTCATACTCAATTCACAAACATATTTCGTAGCTGTTTCTTCGCGATTTTGCCAGTAGGCGTGCGCGGCAATTTATCAAGAAATTTGACGCCAGCGCGTAGTTTACAATGATTAGGCAAGTTCTTCTCCACTAAACTGATAAGCCCCTGTTCTGTTACCTGTAAGTCAAATATTTGAGAAGCGAATGCTTTTCATATCTCATATTTGACAACACATGATATGAATTTTAAATGATCGTAGTTGTTTTTGTGTCTAGTGTACTCAAAAAATGTTCACGATATTTATCGTTTTGCCTGGCATCAGAGAGACGATTGGATGTTGCCCATCAATTTCATGAGGTATTCCTATTATTGCCACTTGAAATATAGCAGGATGAGTCAGTAAAACAGTCTCGATTTCCGCTGGTGAAACATTGGTTCACCTGAAAATGATAAACTCGGATATTTTGTCGATAAGAAAAAATTCCCCATCTTTGTCATAGTATCCCATGTCGCCGGTGCATAACTAAAATATTTAAAAATTCTTTAAATTATTTGTTCGTTTAAATTATCTGTCTATGGCAAAGTTTGCCTACTGCACAATTCGTTGTATATTCCTTTCTTCTAAAAGATATCTAACGATATATGTTAATATAGTTGACTGCAATCAAAATACATACCATCAGAATCGAAAGCTCGTTTGGTCGCTTCAGGATTTTTGATACTCGTTCATTACATAGGGCCCTTTAACGCATATTTCGACAACTTTATTAGTTTCTAAAGCTTTTCTGGTTTCATCCACTATCTTGATGCAGATGTTAAGGCTCGGGAAACCAATAGATCCTGGCTTGCTATACTTGTTCTGTACTGTAATGGTTCCTCCTGCATCAATAGATCCTAAGATGATGCATAATAATAGTAATTTTGATGTGATATAACGCAATGTTAACAAGAAAATATTGTATAATTAATAATTCAAATCATCTTTGGACAAATCTTTGGATACATATTTTCATAGTTACTATTATTTTATTTTAAAAGATCTTAATAAATTTCGCTAATTATGTGAATACAAAGCATTATTTTAAAGCAGCAATATTTAGCATATTTAATTGTAATTTAAATAGTTTTAAAATGTTAAATTAGATTAATATTATAACTAATATTAGAATTGATTTAAGAAAGAATTAGAAGTTAATATAATGATAATAATGATAATAATAATATTTTGAAAATTAATCAGATATAAACTTTAATATTATTAATTTAGATTTACATAAATAGATTTTGAGAAAATAAGTAATACTACACTTATTGTTAGCATTTTTTTTTGTTTTTTAATTGTGATTTACCGTAAAGATTAATTATGGTAATATGTGATAACTTCTTAGCCAGTTCTTCTTGATAATGCTTTTCAAACATAGAACCGTAAACAATAATAAGCTTTAGTGTTTGTAATCGATACTTTTCCAGTAAATCAGTCTTAATAAATCGTATTAGTTGGAACGGGTCAACAGCAAGCAAAGTTATCTAGGGAATTATCATGAAAGCATAACATTAATTATAGAATCATCATTGTTGTCATTCCAAAATGTTGAGTGGCGCACATCTGAATTCGGCGATTTTATGACTATCGTAATCCTTCAAAATATCTTCGAACGATTCGTATTCATTTAGTTCGTCGATGACCACAATTTTTACATTTATTTTTAGCTCCTTTGCTGCTTCTGTTATATTCGCAGCCGATAATGAAATCGTAAAGGTTATCGTTGGCGATGTCAGCGAGAGAAGATATTTTGCTGTATACTGTCAGAAGATATTTGCTGTCACTGAATAAATATAAAAATGAATAATCAAGGCCGAATAATATAGAAGTTGATATCATATAGATTTTCTATTTATATGATTAAACGCAATGTCAATATAACTGTTTAACTAAATTTACTATATTTTCTGAAATTTCTATTTATCCAATTTTACAAGATTTTATATAAGTTTTAGTTATAATTTGTATTTCTTACGTTTGGACATTGCTATGCATATATTTTTATATAACGTGATTATTTTAATAGAGTAATGTCTAATAATAATGTCTAATAAATACAAAATACATACTTGATGTAAGCTGATTGTCCCACGTATTCGGTATGGCGCCTAAGTACATAACAAAATTGAGATTGCGTTCAGATTATTGTTGATGCAAAGACCGATTATATCGCTCGGCTTTACGCCTTGCCTCTTGAGCCAAAGAGCGCACTTAATGCTGCGCTTGCATATTTCACCATAAGTATTCTGTTTACCCATAATGGCATCTATCTGTAGATTAGAAAATTTTCGATTAGGTCTTCAGAGAAATTTTTTTTATAAACATATTAAGTTTGAATATCTTTTTCACTCAAACAGAGAGAAATAGAGAGAAACATTGTTTGTCGAAATACCTGACCAATAAAGTATGGCTTGCTTTTTAAAGTATTAAGTATCATTTCAGCAACATTGACTACTTTACTTTTATAAATTGGAAATTCTGGTCCAAATAAGATATTGTCTTTGATTGTGCCCCCAAATTTGAGCTTTTGTATCTGATACAAAATTGTTAGGTCAATTGTACATCATATACTTAAATTTAATAACATTTTGAACAGTTTTACAATTTAATAATAGCCCATACTAACTAAATAGTACAAACCGGCATAATATAAAGATTTTATGGAAAATGTATAAAAAAATGCGGATATTGAAATAAGAAATTATGAATATTAAAGGTAATAGATATCCGAATATAGATATAGAATTAATCGAATAAGAACAATGCAAAAACAATTTAAAGCGATATTATTGTACAATTTAAATTTTTAGTTATTTTAAGATTTAAAATATAAAATATTGATAGAGATGCAAAGATAGAATACACTTTTATGATATTTATTTTTAGATGTTTTTACTTTGTTGCAATTTGTTGCTGTTTCTCGTATGCACATTTTTATAATGATTTGCTTCTATCAAACTTGGGTGTGAATTAACCACGACTGGTATGAATAAGTAAAACAGCCGTTTATAACGAAAAATCAAACTATACAAATTATTTGCTTTAGAAGATAAAAAATAGATATATAATGTTTAATACGCAAATTATACTTTGTACACTTGTACACATGTACAAATAAATGAAGGAGGATGGCATTTAATTTGGAAGGAGGAAAAGACATCGCTGATGTAATGATGTGATAAGAAATAATATTGCTGGATTTTTGTGAGAAAAGAGATTATTGTCGATAAGAGACAAAAATATTTTGACACAAAAAGTGGCACAATTATTTTTGCAAATAAAAATTCTATTTTAATTTGCACTTTGTATTATTTTAGTAAAATTTAGTGTAAGTCGTGTGTCTTTAACTTAATAATGATTGCTTTGACATTATTAGTCTACGTTTCATTACTGTTTTAAATAATTTTGTAATTATATACATACAGTACTATTATAAATAATTTTGTATTTATATACATATAACGAATTTTGAATAATAGCTTCTAAAAATTTATCTGGTTTTGCAAGGCGTTAATTTAGATATTTTGTGCTTTCAATTTTTCTAGTCAATGTGTGTATTCTTTCTATGTGTATATTACGATTAGATATTTCATTAAATATTTTAGAAAAATTACATTTTTCGCGAAAACGCGATTTATATGCTATCTTTCGTTACCGTATATAGGCCATGTACTTTAATACACAAGTGTTAAAAATGTAGAATATTATCACGAATGTACATACAAATCATGTTGTGAATGCAATTTCGAAAGGAATCAAAATTCGTGTTGATTATGAAAACAGTATGAATAGGTATAGAAAATATATCGTAGTACAAGACACATTTGTATATCGCGTTTATAATCAAATTACTAAACTTTTTCATTTAATTTTATTTTGCTTTTATTTAACTTATTTAATTTGTAATTTATATAATTAAATATATTGCTCTTTTAATTATTCTTGAGTTAAGATAGATATCAACAGGTACGAGAATAATTTTTTCTGATAAATTACATTTTTGTCGAAACATGATTTATACGATTATTTTGTTTCTTCATTACTCTGTGTACCATATTTTAATGCACAAACATTTCTAGCAATTTTTTTTTCGCGATTTTTCCAGTAGCCGTGCGCGGCAGTTGATCGAGAATTTTCACACCTGCGCGAAGTTTACAGTGATCAGGCATGTTCTTTTCAACAAGATCGATAAGTTCCTGCTCTGTTACCTGTAAATTTTACATATAAGTATTTGTGGATCAGAACAAACATATAAGTTTCCAATGATACAATTGTTGCTTTGTCTGTATTTAATGTAGTCGAAAATATTCGCGATTTTTACCGTTTTACCCGGTACCAAAGTGACGACAGCCATAGGGTGTTGCTCGTCAATTTCGTGAGGTATCCCTATCACCACTGCGTGAAGTACCGCCGGGTGAGTCCCTAAAACGTACTCTATTTCCGCGGGTGAGACGTTGATAGACGCAGAATTGATAAACTCTGATATTCTATCGATGATGTAAACTTCTCCGTCTTCATCGTAATATCCCAAATCGCCGGTGCGTAACCAATCTAAAACATTTTAGATTTAAAGCATTCGTTAAATTTTAATCGTAATCTTGGCAGCTTAGAGTTGATATTACAGACTCATCTTGCCAATGAAACATTGAAGATACTTGCTATCAGAATCGAAAGCTCGTTTCGTTGCTTCAGGATTTTTATAATATCCATTCATTACGCAGGGTAGTTTCACACGTAGTTCTCCAGTTTGGTTAGCACCGAGGAGTTTTTCAGTTTCTATATCTATTATCTTTATTCGAACGTTAGGTGCTACGAAGCCAATAGATCCTGGCTTGCAGCCTTTGACCTGCACGCTAACGTCACCTCCAGTATCTGTTAGTCCTATAAGAAATATATGTGGTTTTAATTATGGTATAATGTGTAAAGAAAAATGTTGGTAACAACATCACACGAGAACATTTTTTATATCTTTAAATATAACAATAAAAAAATATCTATAAATGTTTTACGATTCAATAAAATCTCAATTAATTTTTCAAATTATTGAAATATTCAATCTATTTTAGGAATTAATGTTTAATTAATACGATGAATATTGTTTTATTATTTCAAATTTTACGTTTATTTATTGCGTTGGAATTATAAAGAATTATATTTACGTATTAAATTAATATGTTTAAAAAGCAATTTAATTTAATTTCACCAATTTGGTGGATGCAGATTCCATACAATAATGATTCCATAAGAATAATGAAAATTAATGTCTTTTAATATACCGAGTATTTTTAAATTGAATTTTGACTTACCGTAACCATTTAAAATTAGAGAGTGTGGTAATTTTTCAGCTAATGCTTTATGATACTCTTTTCCAAAAGGAGCCCCACTAACTTCGATAATTTTCAAAGTCGATAATCGATATTTCTCCAGCAAATCAGTTTTAACTAATCGGATTAGTATACACGGATCAGATGAAAAAAACGTTATCTAAGCATCGTGAAAGCATTAATCGTTAAAAATCAGTTATTTAACGAATATTTTTAAAGTTAAATGACCAATCGTACAAAGTATAGTTTTTCAATAATAAAATAACAGAAGAGATTTAAAATTTATCAAAAATGCTTTAGCTCGATTTCGGCTGAAATTGGTTTTTTGTGCTCCGCGACATTTGCGTTTTTTTATTTTCACAGTTTTTTCTGTTATTTTTAGCTAAAATTCAGATTTATTTTGAAGTAATTTTTTGTGCTTACTTTATATTTTTCAATAAACTCACAGTACGCCACTACATCGTCGTTACAATCGGATGCAACAATTCTTGTCGAATATGCCATGATAGCTTGAAATGCTAATTGCACGCCATAATGCCAACGCAACGTAGGTAACCATATACAAACATGATCTTTCATTTCGGTAATTTTTTCGGGTAGTAGACAGGTGTACAGAGAAAAGTGCGAAATCTCAGTAATCTTCGGCATACCCGTAGTACCCGAAGAGGAAACTAGAAGAGCAATTTCGTCCGGTTTGCTGACCGGGGCGCATTGAAATTCAGCGATTTCATTACTACCGTGACCCTTTAAAACATCTTCTAAAGATTCATATCCGTTTGTCTCTTCGAGAACTACTATTTTTGTGTTTAATTTTAGCTTTTTTACTGCTTCTGTTACACTCGCGGCTGATGACGAAACCACGAACATTATCGTTGGCGATGTCTGCGAAAGAAAGTATTGCGCTGTAACTGAACAAAAGCAGATAAATAATTTACTAATTGAATGCCGCAAGAAATTGATATTAAAATATATATATATACTTATTTATATTTTATATCTTTTTGTAAAAAATATTCTAAATTAATGATATATACTTAGAGAGAGCTTATAGTCTCCTGTATTAGATATGGCGCCTATATACATTGTGCCTAACATAATTATTATTGCGTCCAGATGATTGTCAGTGCAAAGACCAACTACATCATTCGGCTTTACACCTTGTTTCTTTAGCCAAAGAGCGCATTTAATGCTGCGCTCGGTCATGTCAGCAAAGGTGTGCGCTTTACCCGTGACAGCATCTATCTATAAACCAAAAATTGCGTATTGTCTTTGCAGTAGAATTATCTGCATTGCAAATTGTCTTTTTATTTTATACTGATATTCGCGTCAAATTTGCACATACAAAAATAAAAACTAGCAGTAACGTAGTTTGCAGACGTCGATAATATGGAATTAATATATAAAATTGTTAAAATACCTGGCCGACACAATTTGGTTTGCTCTTTAAGACATTGAGTAACACCTCGGACATGTTAATGGGTTTTCTGTTTATCGGTAACTCATGTCCGATTAAAATATTGTTCTCGATTCTGAATTTACGAACAACATCCTGATAATCAAGAGTTTCCGTTTCCATCTGATACAGAATTTCGTTAAATTTAAGTAAAATTAATATTATTTAAATAATTATTTAAATAATAATTTTGAATAGTATTTTTGTACCTTATTACTGTCCATTGCTGTAGCCTATTAATCTATTTTTATGTATTGTTTTTTATTTGTATCTGTTTTAAAAGAGAGAATATATCGCACTCGCGTTACTAACCAGTATGAAAGGTAAATCAAATTTGTTAGAGCTTATTAATGCTTCTATATCAGCATTTTCCCACTTAAAAATATGATTAAAATTATGATGATAACGAATATAATAAATATCAGATAAAAGACAAGTAATTGTACTAAAATGACTTGCATACGTCTTTATCGATAGTTCAACAAAGATAATTCTCTGATGATAACTGAAAACGCTAATGACTTCGAACAATCACAAATAACTAGCATAATGATAGTTTATATATATGTATATATAACACAATTAGTCAAAGTTCTGCTTGAAATGTGTTGATTTTGAACACAAAAAATTATAAATATTCCCTAATATTTCTCTATCATTACAGATTAGCAATTAAAATTTATGATTCTGCAAACTTAACATAAAAATTTATTTACTTAATGTAAGCTATTAGATGTATTAACGCAATCTTCAACATACTAAACAGTTTTCTCCAAAAACATGTAACAAATAAAAAATTTATTGTAGAAATTTACATGATATATTTGTCGATGATAATTCTTTGCATTTCGTAAACATGTTTTTATTATCGACAAATACGGTTTTATCGCGTTCAAATTCAGTTTATCACGACACAACACTGTATCTTATCACGACTGTTTCTTAACTTATATCACTTAAGGTATAATATTTTTTTTGAAAGATGCATAATGTTTTGCTAATATTTTTAATTTTTTTTTGTCAATTTTTCCAGTACTAACACACGGTAGTTCATCCATAAATTTGATGCCCCCTATAAGTTCGCAGTACCAGGGTAGATTCTTTTTCACTAAATTATGCAATTCTGCCTCTGTTACCTAAACAAATAAATTTTTGTACTTTGCTGATTTTATGTTGTCTAGATATTTCAAACAATGACATTAGAATGTGAACAATTGTTTATAAACAATATTTAAAATAAAATTTTTATTCAAGTTTGCTCGATGAAAGATGAAAGATTTCAATTATAAGTAACATTATTGAATTGCACTTATTATTTTCATGTTTATCTGTTATTTTCATATTACTGTAATTTAAAAGCAATTTTCTCGAGAGAAACGGTTTTCATATTATATTCTCTAAAAAATATGACTATATCTTATGAAAGAAAAGTTAATATATAATTGAATTGGATATTTTATAATATTGTGCGATAGTGTACCTCTTTTCCGGCTACTTTCTGAATAAATGCCATCGAGTGTTCTTCATCCGTTTCATGTGGCACAGAAATCACTGCAGCTTTTAGGACTGAAGGATGAAGCTTGAGTACTCCCTCTATTTCTGTTGGTGACAATTTGATGCTTATGTAGTTAATGAAATCCGAAATTCTACTGACGTAGTAAATCTCACCCTCTTCATCATAGAATACTATATCTTTTGTGTGCAACCATCCTGTATACATATATTTGCAATATTATGAATATAATAGATAAAAATATTTAAGAGTTTTTATAGTTAAAGTTACAGCAATTTCATTGTAATTTCAAATGTAATTTTTGCATATAATATTAAATAAAAAGTAACTAAAATATTAAGATATGACATCTTATTTTAGTTAGTAATTAAAATATTAACCATCCAAATCGATGGCTTCTTTAGTTTCTTCTGGATTTTTGTGATATCCATTCATCACAAATTCCGACTTTATACAAAGTTCGCCCTTCTTATTGGCCCCTAAAACTTCACCAGTTTTTTCATCTATCACTTTTAACCGTATTCCCTTAGTCACAAAGCCACAGGAACCTGGCTTGCTATTTTTCGTTTGGCTCACACATAATCCACCAGCATCTGTCAGTCCTGATAAAATATTTTAAGATAGACAAATTTTTTCAGAGAAAATAAATTTTTCCATACAAAATTATATTCTCATATAACGATAGAAATATCTGTCTACTTATAATGTTTGATCGATGATTTTCACATTATTTTGATATCATATTTTATCATATAGAATGAATTTCAGTGATTTATCTGTTCGATTCATCTTACCGTAACATTGTAATATTTGAGTGTGTGGTATAATTTTCGCGAGAGCTTCGTGCAATTCCTTTGTAAAAGGCGCACCACTGATGACGAGCTTTTTGAGAGACGGCACAGGATATTTTTGCAAAGTATTATACTTCAGGAAACGCAATGGAATGCCATCTGCACTTCCAAACCATGTCACCTAAAAATATAATTACAAAATTACTGTTATAAAAAGTATTTTTTTATTATTATACAAAATAAGAAAGTATAATTTCTTTTTTAGATTTTCTTTATTTAATAATAATGATAACAAAAGAAAAAATTTTAAGTTAAATACTTTGAAATTAGAGATAACTGAAAGAATAAGATTTTTTGAGAATATTAAGCTTTATGAATTAAAGGAAATTACAAAAAGTATTAATATTAGAAAGAAGATAACATGTAAATTTTCTAAAATAATGATGTAAGGAATAAAATAAAACATTGCGAGAAGAATGAAATCTCTCTCTCTCTCTCTCTCTCTCAATAATTGAAAGAAACTGTTTAATATAAAACAAAGAGTTTTAATTAGAATTTTAATTGACAATGTTCTGGCTAAATAAAAAAAAACAATCAGAAATTTTACACAGTTTTACTGTGTACATGCATTAAAAAAAAAGAAAATGAATAGAATTTTTAATGAGTGCACATTTCAAAATCTAGAAGTGTTTAGAAATTTAAAATTTATTGCGTAATAAAAATCATTTAAGTCATTATTTCAAACAATACTTACTTCAGACAATTATTGTTATTCTTTTAGCTACTAAACTCACTATTACACTCACCCCGTATTTTTGAATAATCTTGCATATTTCGACTTCATTGATAATATCCGGTATAATGACCTTTTTTGAATTCGAGATAATAACTTCGATCATTAAGGTCAATCCATAATGCCATCGTATTGTTGGCATCCATAACGACACTTCGTTGATTAAGTGAACCTCCTCGATGGGAGTAATACTATTGTACAGAGATGCGTATGATAGCTCAGTTCCTTTTGGCATACCGGTCGTACCGGAAGAGCTACAGATCATTGCTAAATCGCAAGGATTTTCAACTTCGGTGCAGTAGAATTCGTTAATCTCCGAGGAGATGACTTGTTCCTCAAGAATATCCGTTAGAGATATGAATCCTGGCATATTGCCGATAACTACAACTTTTATTTCAAGATTTTCTTCCTTTACGGCGTTCATTAGGTTCTTAACGGACGCTGCGTTTACGAAGATTATCTTTAGAGACATCAGCGATAGACAATACTGTGCAGACACTGAAA